GACTAAAACAATGCCCTTCCTCATCTCTTAGTACAAATTTTGATTTAATGTCTGTTTTATTTTGTTTATCTATTGCTACTCCTGCTCACTTCTGTTTTCCATATACTTATAAATTACCCAGTGTCAGGTATTTCTGTTATAGCAACACAAAATGGACTAAAACAATGCCCTTCCTCATCTCTTAGTACAAATTTTGATTTAATGTCTGTTTTATTTTGTTTATCTATTGCTACTCCTGCTCACTTCTGTTTTCCATATACATGGAATTTTTTCCCCCATCCCTTCGTCTTTGTAAGTAAGCTGTGTTTCCTCTAGGAAGCATATAAATAGGTCATTTTTTAAAACCTATTCAGCCAGTCAATGTATTTGTATTTGGACATTTAATCCATTTACATTTAAGGTAATTATCTTACTCCTGTCATTTTGTTTGTTGTTTTCTGATTGTTTTATGTATGCTTTGTTCCTTTCTCTCCTATTGTTTATCCTTGCAGTTTGGTGGTTTTCTGTATTGATAAGTTTTGATTCCTTTCTCTTTCTAATTTGTGTATCTACTCTGCTAATACTTTTTAAAATTTTTAGGTATTTTCATGATAGTTGTTATTGTTCTTTCTCTTCTAGATTTAGGACTCTTCTAGGCATTTCTTGTGAGACTGGTTTGGTGGTGATGAATTCCCCCAATTTTTGCTTGTCTGAGACTATTTCTCCTTCATTTCTTCAGGACAGCTTTGCTGTGTATAATATTCTTATGTTGCAGTTTTTTTCTTTCAGTGCTTTGAATATATCATCCCATTGTCTCCTGGCCTGTAAGGTTTCTGCTCAGAGGTCTGCTGTCAGTAACAGGGATTGTCTTATAAGTGACTTGATGTTTTTCTCTTGCTGTTTTTAGAATTCTCTCTGTCTTTAACTTTGGAGAGTTTGACTACAATGTGTTGTAGAAGACCTATTTGGGTTGTATCTATTTGAGGACCTTTGAGCTTCCTGGAGTTGGATGTTTGTATCTTTCCAAAGAGTAGGGAAGTTTTCAGCTATTATTTCATTAAGTAGGTTTCAGTATCTTTTTTGTTTTCTTCTCCTTCTGGAATGCCCACAACTTGAATAATTTTTTGGCTTAATATTATCCCATAGATCTTGTTCATTCTTTTTCATTCATTTTTCTTTTTTGTCTTCCTGTGCAATTTCAAAATTCCTGCCTTCAAGACATAAATTCTTTCTTCTGTTTGATCTAGTCTCTGCTTGTTGAGACTCTCAGATGTATTTATTTCATTCAATGAATTCTTCAATTCCGAGATTTCTGTTTGACTTTTTTAGTGATTTGTTGAATTTCTCATTCAGATTGTGAATAGTTTTTCTGAATTTGTTGAACTGTTTGTATTCTCTTGTATGTCACTGAGTTTCCCTAAACAATTAATTTGAATTCCTTTTCTGGCAAGCTGGCAATTTCTAATTTTTAGGAATCAGTTGCCAGAGCATTATTTTGTTTTTTGGTGGTGTCATGTTAACCTTGGTTTTTCATGTTCCTTATTTCCCTGCATTGATATCTTTGTATCTAGTGGAACAGTCACCTCTTTGAGTTTTTAGAATGGCTTGCATGGAGAAAGACTTTTACCTGCAAATGTGTCCTATGGTTTCAACTGAGTAGAGCACAATGGCTTTTTTCCAGATGGATGCAGTAGTGTAGAGTCTGTATAGTTTCTTCAGCTGTAATCCCCATTTGCTATGTTTGTGAATGACTCACTGACCTATGCTTGGAAAGTTTGTGGCAGCAGTGACACACTTTGCCCAGGGAGGGATCACTGGGTTGGTTCACAGTCTGGGTGTAAGTACATGCACCCTGTGGTTCAGTCATCTTGAGAGTTAGCCCACTGGGGATATGGTTGCTGGATAGATTCTCAGGCTGGGGTTGTGGATGTATAGTGTGTCAGGGTCTCCAGGACTGTTTGCCAGTGGCAGGGTCACTGTTCCGCTTCTCTAAGGGTGGGGCTGCCAGGAACATGTTGGCCAACCTGTTGCTTACTCAGAGGTGTGTGTGTGTGTGTGTGTGTGTTGTGCGTGTGTGTGTGTGTGTTGTGCGTGTGTGTGTGTGTGTGATGGCTCAGAGACTCAGAGCCAGGTCTTCCAGGGGCATGACAGCTGAGCTGTTGCTCTGAGCCTGAGTCATGGCTGGACTTTGGCATGGCTGAGTGGGGGTCTGCCTGTGGCCTTTCTGCTATGCCACTTCTTGGGACCTGATGCAAGGTTGTTCTTCCCTCAGTGGTTCAGGAGTTGGTTTGCCATGGGCAGATCTGCTGAGCTGCTTCTTAGGAAATGGGCAAAGCATTAGGCAGGGCTGCATTGATGGGCACATACAACCACTTCTCAGACTGTTGGTAAGGCTGCTAGGCAGGCCTGCAGTGAGGGGGCTTATCTAGCCATTTTTTGTGTGGTGGGCAGGGCCTCTAGGCAGTTCCGCAGTGAGAGGCACATCTACTTGCTTTTGGGTAGTAGGCAGGGCTGCTAGGCAAATCTGTAGTGAAGGGGCCTGTCCAGCCACTTCTTGGACTGTTGGTAAGACCACTCAGCAGGCCTGCAGTCGAGGGGCCTGTCCAGATGCTTCCTGGGTGATGGGTGGGTCTGCTAGGCAGGCATGCAGTGAGGGAGCTTGTCCACCCACTTCTGAGACTGTTAGCAAGGCCACTAGAAGGGACTGTTCAGGACAGAATCACCTGGCCACATCTCAGGGAGCGCTTGGATGTACTGTATTTCCACCAGCCCATGGGCGTATTCATTTGGGTAGAGACTCATGAGCTGTTTTTCCCAGATGGGGGCACAGGTGCACATAACTCAATCAGCTGGTGGTGCTGGGGGGTAGGGAGAGGAATGGGGGTGGTACACCTGAGGAGGGTCTGTCCATCTGATCTCTGGCAGGGGACGTGGGAATGTGTCAGTTCAGCAAAACTAAGGTTGGCTTCCAGACTGCAGAACTAGAGTCACAGCTGCTGTGAGCCCAAGCTTCAAGTTGCTGGGATCAGGGTGTTGTAGCCCCTCATGTGTGTGCTGGGAAAGGGAAGACCCTTAAGGTTGGGGAAGCCCTATAGCTACTGGCCCCAGGGCAGAGCATGTTCCCAGCAACTGCTCTGGTTTCAAGGTGGTGCAGCCCCACATTGGCTGGGGTCATGAGGGTGAGGGGTGGGGAGTGCACAGTTTGTGTTATTGTTCCAGAGTGATTTAGTGTGTATATTCTAGGCCACTATCCACACTTGGCTCTGGGCTTGTCCTATGTGGTGAGGGTGAGATTTGATGTGGGTCCTCTGTCCACCTTTTCACTGCAAGGGAAAATTCCTCCTGTTCAGATCACAGTGTGGGAGACATGGCAGCTGAGGCTGTGTTCCTCTCTCTCCTCTGTATGCTGCCATCCTGGTCTTACGTGCTCCACAGGGATCTCACTGGTCTCCTGCTGCACTCCTATGTTCTCTCATAGATGTTCCCACCAATATTTAACTGTCTGTTAGTTGTTCGGGTCCTTGTCTATGGGAAGAACATGCCCTGGGCACTTCTAGTCCACCATCTTGCCTTGCCTCTCTGTGCACTTTTTTTTTTTTCCTTTTTGTCTTTTTTACTGACCGGTAACGGGATCGCAACCCTCGGTGTCGCACCCGTACTGGGGACCGGCAACGGGATCGCAACCCTCGGTGTTGCA